ACAGCACAACACGCTCAAAATCAGTCAAGATGGGAATCGACCTCGACCGCCACCATGTTCGAGACGGGCACCGCAGTATGTGATCCCCCGTCGAGTCGGCGCAGCAATGCGCTGGCGACAGCTGTCTTTTAGACGCAACATGAAGCCTTCGAAGGAGAGAGATTGACGAGTATACAGAGGTCCCTAAGTCCACCAACCCCTACGTCAGGCTGTTGGTGCGCCTTTACAAGTTCCTGGCTCGTAAGTGCTTCACCGGACAAATGCGCACATTGTTTGTGCTAACAGCGGACAGGCCGTACCGATGCCAACTTCAACAAGACCGTTCTGCGACGCCTCATGATGTCGAAGACCAACCGTCCCGTAAGACGACCGATCGCGTATTCGACAGAACAGCGTAACTAACACAGCATAGCCGGTCTCCGTTTCCAAGATCGTCGCGAACGCCGCCAACAAGCACTCCGCCAAGGAGCACGCCGGCAAGACCGTCGTCGTTGTACGTAAAGCGATACTACAGCGAAGATTAACGGCTAACATCGTCAGGTCGGCACCGTCACTGACGACAACCGCATGCTTGAGGTCCCCAAGCTCTCCGTTGCGGCTCTCCGCTTCACCGCCTCTGCCCGCGCCCGCATCGAGAAGGCCGGTGGTGAGTGCCTCACCATCGACGAGGTCGCTACCCGCTTCCCCACTGGATCCAACACCCTCCTCCTCCGTGGACCCAAGAACGCCCGTGAGGCCTTCAAGCATTTCGGCTTCGGTCCCCACTCCCACAAGAAGCCTTACGTCGAGAGCAAGGGCCGCAAGTTCGAGCGTGCCCGTGGACGCAGAAGGTCGCGTGGTTTCAAGGTTTAAGCGTGTGCTTACAGCACTCTTGGTTTCTCTGGGTTGGCGTGGTCATGGTCATGGGAATTCTTACGAGGCGCGCTTCATGACTGGCAAAGGCTCTTCGAAAGCCTGCAAAAAGATACTCAATGCTCAACATGAAATGAAAGCATACACATGGGCTCTCCCGAGCTCATGGTTAAATCATGAACAACCATCTTCTATGAACGTGCATGTCGTCACTATTCAACTGTCGGTATGAGCATTCGTGAATTTCACATGCAGGATAATTTGCCCGCAACAGGTAATACTGTATAGCGATGTTGAACGACGAAGTTTTTCGCGTGCTAAATTTTCTGCGGCTCCCCCACATTCAGCCAACCAGCGCTAGCCAATCTAAACCACCCGACGTAATACCCCGACTAGTCACTGCATCACTTGAATGACTTGACATTGACAACAACTCTGGCAAAATGGTCGACAGTCGAAAAGTAGGAGTGCTAGGCGGCGGCCAACTGGGCCGTATGCTAATCGAGGCTGCCAACCGATTGAACGTTCAAGTCAATGTCCTGGACGTCGGGGCATCACCAGCAAAGCAGATATCAGCGCACGACGGCCATATCGAGGGATCTTTCAAGGATGCAGCGGCTGTAAAGAAACTCGCAGAATCATCCGATGTCGTCACTGTCGAGATCGAACATGTCGATACCCATATGCTCGAAGAGGTAGCGGGGCAGGTCGTTGTTGAACCCAGCTGGAAAACACTACGGACCATCAAAGACAAATACGCCCAAAAGCAATACCTGAAAGAGCATGGAGTGGATGTCGCAGATAGCATCGATCTCGAAGGAAAGGGTGTTGCGGGATTGAAGGAAGTAGGTTCGTCATATGGCTATCCGTTCATGCTCAAGAGCAAGACAGAGGCGTATGACGGCAAGGGCAACTTTGTGGTGAAGACGGAGGCGGACGTTGATGCAGCATTTGAGGCCTTAGGAAAGAGGCCGTTGTATGCAGAGCGCTGGGCGGACTTCAGGATGGAGCTCGCAGTCATGGTCGTCAAGACAAAGGACGGCGTGCTCACATTCCCCACTGTCGAGACTGTTCACGAGGACAGCATCTGCAAGCTTACATACGCGCCGCCCAGGAACGTAGCAGAGGAGACGACACAACGAGCGCAGGAACTCGCCAAGAAAGCGATCGGTGCTTTCGAAGGCAAGGGTGTTTTCGGTGTTGAGATGTTCTTGCTCAAAGACGACAGCCTGCTCATCAACGAGATTGCGCCTCGTCCGCACAACTCGGGACATTACACCATCGAAGCCTGCCCCATCTCACAATACGATGCGCATCTCCGAGCCATCCTCGACCTACCCATCTCCCAGTCTAGCCTCCGCCTCCGCGAACCCTCCATTATGCTGAACATCCTTGGCGGCAAGACGCCAGACTCCCACGTCCAAGTCGCGAAGAGGGCTCTTGAGTCACCAAATGCATCAATTCACCTCTACGGAAAAGGCGATGCGCGTCCCGGCCGCAAGATGGGCCACATCACCCTCACAGCCCCCACACTCGCAGCCGCAGAACGCGAGATCCAGCCCCTCGTCGACTTTGTCGACGCCCAAAAGGGAAAGACCGTCGAATCACGCAGCTCAAAAAGCTCCACAGAAGAGCCTCTCGTCGCTGTAATCATGGGTTCAGACTCCGATCTCCCCGTCCTCCGCGCCGGTCTGGAGATCCTCACTAAACTGCAAATCCCCTTCACCACGCGCATCACTAGCGCCCACCGCACCCCCGACTGGCTCCGCGAGTTCTCCAAGACCGCTTCTCAGACGTCTCTGAAAGTCATCATTGGCGCTGCGGGTGGTGCAGCTCATCTACCCGGTATGTGTGCGTCGTGGACCACACTTCCGGTGATTGGTCTGCCCGTCAAGGCGAGTGTGATGGATGGCTGGGACAGTCTTGTTAGCATGACCCAGATGCCGCGTGGCGAGCCTGTTGCTACTGTTGGTATCAATAACTCTACCAATGCTGCGCTGCTTGCTGTGCGCATCCTTGGCGCGGAGGATAAGACGATTCGGGAGAGGTTGAGGGTTTGGATGGAGGGGAATGAGAAGGAGGTTATGCGGAAGGATAAGGCGCTGTTGGAGGATGGTTGGGAGGCTTATCTCAAGGGTATGGGCAAATAAATAGGGCGGGAGGGTCATTGGCTGAGGGACTGAGGGAGCCTGTGCGATGTTTGTGAACATTGGCTGATGGGATATGCAGGGAGTAGAAAACCTGTTTCTGGCCCAAGAAATGAGCCTTCCCTTTACGGATATCTTAAGTGCAGTACACATAAAATGTTACGGAAGTCTTTTACTACTGAGGCTCATTGCGATGATGATGATCATCATCACTGTTCACTCAAGCCTCAACAGCAGCCTCTTCTCCGCACAACACATGAGAGCAACCCTGACTCTTTTATTTACTGCCCTCGCACAGTTGACTCCATGAGGCTCGCGTTTTCCTGTTCTAGCGGTGCTTCTCCCCCACAAGAACATATTCCTGTGATGTGTATCTTTCGAACACATATTGAAATCGCCGTTCGTTTTAGAAGACTCCGCGACACCAAAGCCATAAACCAGTCTTCAGGTGTTTTGGTAAAGTGGTCTTTGAATATGCGGATGAGAGGAGAAGCATGAAGTAAGACAACCATGCGTTTTATAGTCGCAAGGTGGGAAAGAAGAGATCACATGGCCCTTTCATGTAAGTGTTTTGAACGGCTTCTCTTCCTCTTCATGTGACAGTTTCCTACCCGCTTTTCGAGAATAGCTCGTTAAAGAGCATAGGCGTGAACAGAACGACATCGCTCTTACTGTTAGCGGATTTTCATAGTACAAAGGTCCAGTATCTGGCCTGGTCAGACATGATATGTCCGCGAGGAGTTTTTGGAAGTAAGATAGAACGCATGAATGTCCTGTGGATATTCAAGGTGCGAAAAGGCATGGAAAAGAGAAAACCCATAAAGCCATTCGCTCATAGTTTTGAAGCAGAGAGAGAAGTGTGGTGTATAGAAAGAAAGACGGAAGGAGGCGAAGAGGCAGCTTTATATGCGTCAAGAGTCATCCGGAGCGCGCACTCATCGCGCGGAACCGATATGTTTTGAACGAGGAAGCACAGCTTTTCCATGTTTTCTTGGCTCGGCACTTTTTGAATGCCGCCGTATGTGTTCGGAATCGGTACATGAGGTTTCTCATTTCGTGAGTAGAGAAGCGGGGAGACGACAGGCGCATGTATTAGACATTGGTGTTTTTGAAAAAGGGAAGACGCAGACATCATACGATTGTTTTCCTGTTTTGGAAAACTGCATGCAAGTTTGATATGATAGAAGGAAAAGAGACAGTAGTGCGGAGACGTTTTTATCTACCTCTTCCGAGGCGGACGGAGACATGAGTGCGTTCTCGGCAGTTTTGTCGTCTGATATCTTCCTCTCATGCATACACGATTTCCATGCCAATCGTAAATCGTTCTCAGGATGCTTTGTAGCATCAAGTTTCCGGGGACATGCGCTATGGTTTGGACTTTCAGCCAGTTTCGAGAGGCTTAGAAAACGAAGTTCTCATAAAACGATGAGCAGTACGATTTACGTGACGCCGCGCATATAGCGATACTTTGGTATTTTTTTGGAGATAAGTGGACAAGAGAGGCAGAGTGCTCACATGAACATATAACTTGGTCGTTTTGAGAAATTGAGGTAAAAGGAGCGTGTGTAAGAAGCAAGTCAAGGCGAGGAAATGGGAGTTTATATACTCCTCGTGGGAGCGGTGTAAAGGCGCCAATGGATGATGAGTATCTTTCTTCTAGCACTCGCTCATCTTGGGTTTCAAATGTTCAATGACATTTTCCTTTTTGAGAAGCCGATGATGTGCGGCGTACGGGCTTTGAGAACATGAGTTTTGTAAGCACGCCAACCTAGGAAAAAATTGAACACCCTAGAGCCTACGTTGACGTTGAATCACCCACTTTGCAGATTCTTGTCTTGATGTAGTCCGCAGGCCTGTTCAGTTTTTTCCTTGTATGAGGTGTGAGCGTCAATTTGGCGAACTCAACGCCAGTATAGATAAATGAGGGGGACGTGAGAACCAGGGTGCTATGTTTTGATCCGAATGTACCAGGACATGATGATTGGTGTGTTTAGTAAAAGTCTAGATCTCCGCTCGCGCCCAGCACTTTTCTGAGCCGACCTCCAAGTCAGTGTTGCTCTTCCTGCCCATTTTCCAAGCGGCTATCCGCCTCTTTCCAAAGTTATCCTCCTTGCGCCAGCCATACTATCTCGAGGTTCGCAAATTCCTTATATGCCCGAAGCCGTTGCTCAACCGGAGGCTGCTGAACCGGAGGCTGCTGACCTAGTATCCCTATCCGCTGCCGCCTAATCTTGGGCTTGTTCCGCACAATCTCGAGTCGCCGTAAGCCAGAGAGTCCAGTAAAGACATTCGCGTCGCCGACCTGCAGGTGACGTAACAAAGATTCCACCTCGTATTCACGCAGCTGGACTGTCTGAATAGCAAGCATATGTGCAGACGTGCTGAATAGATTGCCCCTGGACTCGCACTCGGCTATTGGGCTATTTAGTACAAAGACGTTGAGGCGATACGCTAAGGTAGCTGTTTCGATGTAGATCTGGCGGCAGGTCTCTGGGAGGTGTAACGCTGATTTGAGTGGCCTGTAGCTTGTTCGCTGTTCGGGGTCTGCGTATGTGTATGCCCACCCGCGTAAAAGCTTGGAGGAGGAACCCAAGAGGAGGCTTATGTAGGGATAGCTTAATGCGTACTGTAGCGATGGAGAGGCGATGTCAGCGTATATCACAAACGAAGTTCTCGAGTCCGAGGCTTACCTCCCATATCTGGTTCCGGAGTTCGCCAGGGAGTTGTAGAAGACGAGAGGTTGCCGTATTACGATTAGCACTGCTTGAGTCAGGGATGTGAAAAAACTCAAAGAGGAAGGATAGTGACATTGCGGCAATATATTCAGACATGTGGGTAACGTCCACGAGCCCATTTGCTTGGAAGACTGCCTTGTTGCCGTCCTTTCGCTGCTGTGACATTGACGCAGAATTATCGGGTTCCGGCGGATGTTCCATGTTGAAGCGTTGGAGCGCGATAAAGTTGGCAATGCGATAGCCCGATATGCAATTTTCGAGGTTGATTGCAGTTTTGTCGATAGAGCTTGTGTGGCGGGGTGGATAACCTGAGCAGCGGTCTGCAATATACTTGACCTGAAAGGAGAGCGCCCATTTCACTTGCTCGTGTAATCAGTGCGCCGTTAGTGCCCAAGGCTCCTGTTCCTATTTTGTTCCTGTTTCATTGATCTGTTCCGGTAGCGACTGTTGTTCGATTCTATATCCATTACATTTTAGCTACCGTGCCCATGACAGAGCCTCTCCTTCCAGACCCTATGGAATTGTTGTCTTCGGAGCCTCATATAACGTTGAAAATTTACGTAACGAGCTCGAGTATCGAGGCTCACAAGCATAGCGATCATTTGCAGCTATAGAAAGCGCCAGCTGCTCTATAGATCACTTCCAACTGAAAGTCAGCCAAGGTCTGCCCTCTCGCTCCCGTATCCGCTGCTCCAGTAGCCTACGGTAAAACTCGACTCCTTTCATTTTGCGGGTTTCCTCGTCCTCTGGATCAAGGTGGTCGAAATCGTGCAAGCCGTCCGCAGTGCGGGGAGCGAGTTCCAAGTGTACCAGACGTGGGAACGATTCAGTGAGATAACCACTTTTGGAATGGGGTACTTTATTGAAGATTCGACCATCGATGGAGGTTCGATACCTTAATCTGAAGTGCCACAAGCCTGCGTTGGATATACGGAGGGATTGAATGTTTCGTAGATACGCGTGATCGGAGACCCATCGAGCCTGGTAAAATTGAGGAATCTTGAAAGTTGTGAGGGCGAAGATCAGCAACCGGGTCTCCGCGTGGATCTGCCTCGAGGTCGCTGGTAGGCGGAGGGCAACATCTTTTGCGGGGGTGCCATCATCGTTCAACGGGATCCCATGGTGCTTGGAATGTGCTCCGCTCCTGCGAATGCGATATCTGATTTTTACATAGGCGCAACTCATGGAGTATTCCCAGATCTGGATTCGGAGTTCGGCTGGTAAGCGTAGTAGAGGTGAAACGGATGCGTTGCGTTGTGAGCTGTTCAGTTAGCAATGCCCGACTGCAGTGAGTTGATATCTTACATGGCTAGCTTGTCTTCCGGCACCGGCATCGGGACAGGCTCTCCATCGCCTTGATGCAAAGAAGACGATTGGTTCTCTGACTGCACGCGCATCTGGTTTTTGTTGGTCACCTGCATCGTCATTCCGTGGCTATGTGTTCGCGAGCGGTTAGGTAGCCTTCAGGCGTCGTTGTCGCGTAATGGGGAAGCTGCGATATTGCGAATCTGTAGATGTAGAGCTCTAGCAGGTGTTTGCCGTTGGTTTCTAGAGAGTTTTCGGTACATAAGCTGAGTGGTATAGGGAAATCGGCAAGCTTAAATCGTGTGCTAGCTCCGAAGGTGTACTTTGGTTGAGAGATCCGAGGTTTTGCCCGGAACCAACCGAAGCTGAGGCTTACAATCAAAACGCTTCGGGGTAGGTGTATATGTGTGATGCTCTAGGTCTCTTGTCCGGGAGTCGCCTCTTTGTCGTTCTCTTCCCTAGACTTCGCCTCTGTACTTCCCTCTTCCTCTGCATCCTCGTCACTCTTCTTCAAATAAACCACCATTCCGTTCAGCGCATTCCCATGCTTTTCAAACTCTCTTAGCACCACCTTTTCCCTGCCTTTTATCCACTTCTTGCCCACCTCATTGCACTCCTCCAATCGCTCTTTCTTCTCCTTCGTTTGCGCATACACACTGTAGTCGTCCAGAATTTCGTTGCCAACATACAGCACCGGGTCTTTCGATTTGAGGAAAGTTGGTAGAAGAAGGAACCAATCCACGAAGGGCGAGTAAACGAAGGAGCAAGACGTAATGCGAGCCTGAAGATCGGAGTCAAGGACCGTGATAGAGAGGTGCGATAGAAATTCGATGTCGAGGGTTGTGAATGCTGGGTCTTGGGCGAAACACTGTATCTTAACGTCCTTGTTTTCGTCTTTGACTATCTTATAATCAGTTCGGGTACGTGCAACAGATAGAGACGATGACATACGTCGCCCGAATACATCGACAAACAGTACAAGCTGCCAGAGACTCCTCCACCGATGCGCCCAGTCTCGACTGAAACTGCCGATGCCAATGCATACCGCTTCTTCGACACCCCATTTGCCATGGGCGCTCCTCTTCTCCACAATCTCTTTGACTTGCTTCGCAAGCAGCGTATCATCCCACCGCTCTTGAAGCAGGCGAAAATCGTCCAATAATTTTTCTGCCGTCAAACCCTCTACTATCCTCGTAGGCAAGGACCCAGCATCTGCCTCCTTCTTCCCTTTCCCATCAAGCGAAATACTCGCCAAGCCATGGGTAATGACAGTCCACCCATCCTCACTCTGCACCTCCTTCCTCTTAACGCGGCCTCTTCCTTTCTTACTCATCTCGCCTCTACCTCTTCACACCTGGCTCGTTGCTCAGTCTCGGCAAAAACCAAAGCGCATACTCCCTTCACCACAAGCGCACCTCAAACCCACAATGACGCACACTGCACAAAAAAGCTGCACCGATCGTCGCGTCGTCGACTTAAGGTGCGGCTTGCATGGGCGCGTAAGTAAGGCGTGGCCAAAGTATCGAGGGCGAGGCGATGACGGGAAGGGACCACCTGGGCGCGTAGAAAATCATCGTGAGAGGCCAGGGTCTGGTTGGGTTTTAGTGGGGAAAGGGAGGCTCGGAACGGGATTTCCGAGGCGGAACGGCGGCGACCTTGGCTGTGGCCCGCCAAACCACAGTAAAGATTGTGTGGGAACTGTGCCTCCCTTGATTAGGGGTCTGCTATCTGGCCTGCAGCTGTAGTTTAAGCCATCCGCTCATGTCGGCGTTGCGTATGCGGATCAGGCCTCCTGCTGACGGCTTATACACACAACCTATTTTTTGTAGTAGTCGGTATAAGCATGACGGCATATAGCTTACAGTGAGTGAGCGACTAGTGGGGTTGCAAGTATTGGAATTATGGATGGTATTGGATGTGTAGCTTCTGTACATCATACCGCACAGTAACGTGTTATGTGCCCCTAAGAAAGACCGTCATAGCTGCTGAACAGCTGGTCCACCAACCACCCAGATCAAAGCACCGCGTACGCTCCAAATCGAGATCGTCGCTTCAAAAGAGACCGGATATCTTTCGCGCCAAAACTCCTTGCCCATAAAAAGACTATATTCGCTGATAAAAGTCAGGTTCGTACACTAGACAACCCATGTAATCCAGGACGCCGCTGCAAGCATTGCCGGCACTATGATCGATGCATAGGTGTTGACGACCATGTTGTGTGGCGCTGGCGATGATGTTGTCGAGTATACGATTTGAAAGCCAATGTGATCGTCGACGTTTGTTGTGTTAACGCAGTTTGAGCTGTTGACTTCGGGAACATCCTCTGGTTCGGCGAAAGTGATGTCGGCACACTATTGGAATCTATTAGCAACTATGCGGCTGTCATGTTCAGGCGCTTGCACTCACGTTGTAAAGAGCAGCGCCGTGTTGCGCAAGCTCAATAATCTGGATAGTCGCATTGTCTCCAACCTGGGGTGTATAGTTGGCAGGTAATGGAACTTGCGGTAGACAGAAAGAACCGGGGTATTCCTGGTTTGTAGGTCCTGTGATCTGGAAGACTGGAACCATGGTGTGCGAGTAATTCAGCGGTTCGTTGCCGTAACCCATGTTGACGTAGAACATGGCGAGCGAGTGGCCTGGGAACCATCCGGGTTGGATTGCGACGGCGCCACCGTTAACCGGCCACTTTGTGCGATTTTGCGACATTGGCATGCCACCACCTAGAAGTTCATGTTAGTTATCTTCTCCTGCGCGGAATACCCAATCGGGAAAACGTACATGGGTACATCCATTGCATGCCGTATGGAAATCCATATGTGCCGGTGTCTTCGTGGTAGTTGATACCAATCGAGCCATCAGGGATCGATGGGTCTGTGTCAGACTTGGTTCCGTTGGTGTGGATGTTGTTTCCTCTCCATCCTGGGTAGACGATAACGGTATGTGCAGTAGCGAGTGACCAGGTAGCGGCGATAAAAACGAGCTCGGTAAAACGAAACATCTTGGCGGTGCGATGTGGAAAGCAAAGACTGTTGCGTAGCGGAAGTCCTTATCTTTAACGAATCTGGACCCGTCAGCTTTGGGGTACACGATTTGATGGTAGTCGACGCAGAACGGGCAGCGTGCGGTGGCGGGGGGCATCAGCACTTATGGATTACGGGACTTGGCCTCGAGGGCCTCGTGCAACCATGGCATTGCTCGCCAAAGAGACGCTTCAGGCGAATGAACAGAGCAAAACGGGCCCGCCAGCATGGCCAGCCTTTGCATGTCAGCCCTCGAAGCATTGAGTAGGCAGCGAATAGGCACGTCGCTAGCATATTGAATCTACAGGGGCCAGCGACCACTGAGCTTCGCGTATGCAGGTCTTGTCGGGCGGGAGGGAAAGCCTCTGTCGGCGGAGCGAATAGCGTCCGAGGTGGCCATGCGCATGGCGCCTCTGATTTGCAGAGGCGTGTGATGACTTTGCAGAGTCTCGGCAGTCCGGCCAGGCACCTCTAAGCGCCCAACTACTCCAGAGTCCACATGCCCACCAGCAGACAGCGAGGAAGGTTTCCGGATCTGAAAAATGCCCTCTTCCGCGCGACTCGGCCGTGATAGTGTGACCAAGGCGTGATGCAGAATCTTGAAACGCCGCAGCTACACCGCGTAGGCGACGTCTATGTTCGTGTGAGAAGAATGCTGAACGACGCAGACAATCGCGCGCACAGTCAGCTAGCCGCCACTGGCCCCCAACGGACGGCGATCAACGCCCTCGCCGCAATATAATCCCCAGCCGTCAACATGCGCATGTTTCTATCCTCATATCGCTGCATGAAGGCTGCAGTGCGACAGCTGGGGAAGGCCGAGTGTCGACGATGCTGATTGGGAGCTTGTTTCGCCGCCCCTGGTCGCTTGGAAGT